AATAAGACTACAAGGACAGCCACTTAGCTGGTACTGACCCAATAGTGAAGCAGGCATGTGGTAAGCGCATGTAGATAGCATCATTAACCGTGGTCAGGAATCTATGACCAAGAGTAAGAGTACAGACTAAGGGTATAGATAGGGTAGCTCAGCCCCAGTACACTCATAGCCTATTCTATTAGGAAATCCCCAAAGAGTGGTACCAATTACAGTATAATTTCAAGCTTCTATTCATTCTTAGGGAAGCACGGGAATGTGGCCATTGTGACTTTAACCTCGAGGTCTTGCCTTCTTCAGGTTCACCTCCACTCACAGTTTGGATGTGTTCTCGTCTTCTGGTACTGGCTCTCTTGAGTGCCCAGCCCTGTCTGCCTGCCTAGTAATTGCTCTGTACCTTAGTTAGTTGCCTATAAGAGACAGGATTGGGCTGGCCAAATAGCTCAGCAGATTAAAAGTGCCTGCAAGCAGGTGCAGGGGCCGGGGGTTCGAACCCTGGGCCTGGTGTGCTGGTGCCCGCCCCACCCCTGGGGCGAGCTGAGATGAAAGTTGGGACTGGGCATGGTGGCATGCGCCTGTAATCCCAGCTCTTGGGAGGCTATAAACAGGAGGATCACTGTGAGTCCAATCTAGTAGTGAGACCCTGAACACCTTGTAGACCCTTCCCTAAAATACAAAAAAAAAAGATAGAGACAGGGTCTCAGCAAATCGTTAACTGCCCAGGCTGGGCTCAAATTTGTAATCCTCCTGCCTCAGCTTTCCAGGGTGCTGCGATTGTGGGTGCACATCACCGCCCAACGTTAAGGCCTAAGGATTTGCGAACTTCATGGTACCAAGATGACACTATGAAGAAATGTTTGGAAAACAGGATATCCATGCGCAGAAGATCTTTACCTTATACCATGTACAAAAAATTAACTCAATGGGGCTGGTGAGATGGCTCAGTGGTCTAAAGCACCTACTTAGAACAAGCTAAGCTAAGCCAAGCACAGGGACCGCAGTTCAATCCCCCAGCACCACATGGCAGCCAGCCCCGCCCCCTGGTGGGCTGAGCAGCTGGCCACACACACACAAATAAATAAATAAATATAAATCCTTAAAAAAAAAAATTGGGCTGGTGAGATGGCTCAGTGGTCTAAAGCACCTACTTAGAACAAACTAAGTTAAGCAAAGCACAGCGACCGCGGTTCAATCCCCCAGCACCACATGCCAGCCAGCCCCACCCCCTGGTGGGCTGAGCTGGCCACACACACAAAATAAATGAATAAATAAATAATAAATAAATAATAAAAAAAAAAATTAAAAAAAAAAAAAAATTAACTCAAAATGGCTCAACGACCTAAATGTATGGCTTAAAACTGTAAAGCTGGATGAAATCATACTATTCTGCCACAAAGTAAGATACACTTGAATCTTTGGTGGGAAAAAAGGGTGCACCTTGAGACCATGATATTTAGGTGATACAAGCTTAAATATCACATCGTTTCTCTTACAGGAGAAACTCAAAGGATAAATAAAAAGCAAAATAAAGGATGGATAATAGGGAGGTAGATCTTCCTCAAAGTGGAAGGGGATCAAGAGATGGGGAGGCACAGAGATAGCCCAGAGTTTAAGTGCCTACCTGGCAAGCCCAAGGACCTAGGTTCAATCCCTGGTACTCAATGCTGTGTTGGCCTCACCCCAGGTGTAGTGGCGCACACTTGTAATCCCAGCCCTGGGGAGGCTGAGACAGAAGGATCACTGTGAGTCTGAGCTGTGTAGTGAGACCCTGTACTAAGCACATAAAATAAAAAAAGAGATGGAGGGAAGGGGAAAAGAAGGGAGAGGGAATTTTAAAAAAGTAATAAGATGTTCCAGGGGCCAGAAAGATAGCTCAGTAGAATAAGTACTTGCCTGGCAAGTACAGGGTCCTGAGTTCAATCCCCGGAACCTAAAAAAAAAAAAAAAAAAGAAAAAAAAGAAAAAGTTCCAACTCCTAGTAAGGAATGCAAACAGTATGTACTGCAAACATTTTCAGAAAAAGAAAAGGAGGGTATCAAGAGACAGGTAGAAGGGCAGATATGGAAGGAGAAGAATAAAAAAAGGAATTAAGAGGAGTTGTGCCAATTCTCCACAAGGAATGTCATCATGATGGACAACATGTACTAATAAATAATAAACTGGAAGAAATAAAAGATTCATGTCACTTGGCAAGGATTTTTTAGTGTGAAACCAAATCATGGGCAATGTGACAAACAGGACTATATCAAAATTTGACTTCTGCACATCAAAGGAAACGGGAGGGAAAAGCCAACCCCATAGGGAGGCTTGCAATTTGTAAGTATAAAATATACAATGAGAGCTGGGGATTTAGCTCAGTGGTACAGGGCCTGCCTGGCAAGCGTGAGGTCCTGAGTTTGAGTCCCAGAACCAGAAAACAATACAAACCAAAATAACAACAACAAAAATATATATAATGAGAGAAAATAATTGCAAGCCACAAATCTCATACAGGTTTTATTTTTATTTTTTTTTATTTTTGGCAGAACCAGGGATTGAACTCAGATCCTTCCATTTGTCAGTCAAGCGCTTATCCTACTGAGCCATCTGCCCAGCCCTGATACAGGTTTTATGTCTAGAATATATCTAGAACTTCTATAATTCAACAATCAGGTAACCCAATTTAAAAATGGGCAAGGAACTGAGATACAGTACTTCCAAAGAAGGTAAACACACAGCCACAAGCACAAGAGCTCAACATCACCAATCACAGAGGAAATGCAAAGTAAAGAAAGGGAAAGAGAAGGAAAGTCTTGCCTTGAGGTAGAAAAGTATGGAGCCTGCGCATTGCTGATGGAAATGTAAAATAGCTTGCTCACTAGGAAAAACAGTGTAGAACTTTCTCGAAAGCCTAGGCCTACGATTATACATGATTCAGGAATCCTGTGTACATCCAAACGCTGTGAAGGGAAAATTGGCGGCCGTATTACTTTCAGTGGTGGGGACTGAGCCCTCGGCCTCTCACAGGGTAGGTGAGTGCTCTACCACTGAACTCCACCACCAGCTCCGAAAAGGGAACTTTGATGAGTTCTTTGCACAATCTCATTAATAGCAGCATTATTTACAACAGCCAAAAGGTGGAAGCAGCTCGGGTGTCCACTGATAGGTGATGGATAAAGAAACTGGATGCCTCCATACAGTGGAATGTTATTATTGAGTCTTTTAAAAAGGGAGGTGGGGGAAAACAGTGAACCTATAGTTTCAGCTACCCAGAAGGCTGAGGCACAAGGACTGCCCGAGGCCAGGTTTGGAGGCCAGTCTGGGTGACAGAGCAAGACACCACCTCGAACAACAGAAAACCTCAGACAGACACAAAGACAAAATGAGAGTAATAAAATCTCTCTGGGGCTAGTGGTATAGCTCAGGGGTAGAGCACTTATCTGGCAAACAGGAAGCTGTGGGTTGGATCCCTAAGCACCACCAAAAAAGAAAAAAAAAAAAAAAAGTTACAAAAGACATGTTCACCCATCACTGGTTTACACTGCTAGAGAAAACAGAAGTGTGTGTGTGTGTGTGTGTGTGTGTGTTTATGTGTGTGTTGGTTGGCTGGATTTAGGATCATGCCAGAACAGACTGGTGAATCATAAACTTTCTGTTCTGTTTTTTTGCCTCCTGACTGGCTCAGACAAGTTTGCTCTTAGACCAATTTAGATCAAATGAAATTCTCCCCATATGCTAAACATGACACCAACTTGACACACGTTTCAGAAATAATCCATGAAAGTGACTTTAAGCATTGTTAGTGCAGAGAGAAAAACACAGCAGAAATTACAACCTGGGTGAGCGTTATGGGTAGTTTTATAATGGGGGGGGAGGCCGAAGTAAGCAGCTGCGCACTGATTAATCAGAAAGTGCTGAAAGAAATTTCCTTTCACATTATGAATTGTCTCTGCTAACTTGCTAGTTAGGAGAGCATTTTATAGAAACTTTTAGCTCTCCTTAAATATTAAACTTACAAAGATACAAAGTTGACATATATGTTTGTTGTTGTGTTTGTCTTTTTTGAGACAGGGTCTTACTATGTAATTCAGACTGGACTTGGGCTCATTTTGTAGCTCAGGTTGGTCTCGAACTTGCATGATCCTCCTGCCTCAGCCTCCGGAGTGCTGGGATTATATATGTTTATTTTTATTTTGTTGTTCAATGTTGGGGAGGTAATTTAGGCCTTGCTCATGCTAGTCTAACTATTACTGAGTTACACCGCTAGCCAAAAAGCTGATCTTTTTCTTACTCTAGAGCACTCGGGCATTATTCCTCATGACCCACCCACTAAACATGGACCCTTAGCACCATAGCTTATAAGTATATACTCTCTGAAGCAACCACAAATAGGTGTTGTGTTTTTTTTTTTTTTTCCAATAAGCTAAGAAGTGAATTTCCACTTAACCACCATTCTAATGTTTTTCTTTCTAAGTATGTGTGTGTGCTGGGGATCGAACTCGGGGCCGAGTGCATGCTAGGAAAGAAGCACTCCACCACTGAGCGCATCCCCAGCACCGCCATTCTAATTTTTACACTCAAGCACCTGAGGACATTTATTACAACGCACAATCCCCGAGCTCGAAAGAGGGCAAGAACCTGGCAACTGATTTACTGGTCTCTAAGGCCGCTCGTGCTTTCAGAGAAGGCTCCACACTGATCCCTGAATTCTGCGCCTCGACTTCCCAAGTAACTACGGCACTTTCCATCAACGGCCCCTGCTCTTCCTCTCCGTCTTCGCTTCAACCCTCCTCTTTCCACTGCAAACGCTGGCCCCGCTCACCTGTCGCCCCGACATCAACAGATTTCAACTAGGCAGCCAGCCCCACGGTCTTTCGCAGCTCCTCCTCCGACCGCTAGTACTGCTCTCCTGTGCTCTGTAAGCATTTGTTCCTCGCAGCGAGGGACGCATGAAAAACTCGGTGCATTTAGAGTCTTCACCTACTTTTAATCACTTAATACGCTAAGCCAAACTACTAAACCCCGAATGTGGGTCTGTTCGCGCACTGCTCAAATCGAACTCGGTGAAGCGGTACTAGTGCAACCCCGCGTCTCAGCTGAGGCCAATGAGCCGGATCCCAGGCCCAACCCACCACCAGGCCTGCTTCAGGCCGGGGGGTCGGAACCCAGAACCGTGGTGCTCGCCGCAGCCCCTCCGAGGCCCCACCGAAGAAATACTTCCCTCCGGGCCCCAGAGCACAGGCGGCGATCCAGGCTTTTGGAGCGCAGTGGGAGCAGGCTACAACCAGCTCCTGGAGACACGTGACGCGTGTGGGCGGGACTTTACAAGGCCCCGCCCCTAGCAGTTAAATAGAGGCGGCGGCGCGGCTGGCGGGGTTCGCAGAGCAGCTACGGTGTCGAGGTTGGTCAGGGTCCTTGCAGCCAGGGCTATGGCCTCGGTGCAGGAGAAGGCGGCCGCGCTGAACCTCTCGGCTCCGCAGGTCCCCGCGCAGAAGCCTCCAGGTAGGTGTCCCGGACCTTCGGGGGCGGTGCGGGCCAGCTGGGGCGCTCCGGCTGTGGTCCGGTGCCGAGCGGCGGGACCCGCGCGGGGCGAGCCGGGCGCAGCTGCGGCCCCTCGGCCAGTTCCTGCCGTGCGTGCGGCGCTCGCGCTCCCCTCGCGTCGGTGGGCGTGGGCTGCGGACCCCTCGCTCACAGATTTTCCAAACTTTAACTTCACGGCGCCTCGTTCCGTGTACCCGCGGAGTGCTGGCGCTTGTCCCTGGGTCTCCGGGACAAGCTCCACGTCATGACCGGTGACAAGGGTGATCCTTGCAGTTGGGATAGCTGTTTGCCCCCCTGTCTTGGCTGCGTTACAGGACCCAGGGCCGAGCAGCGCCTTGGGCCACTTCGTTCTCCAGGTTGGTAGGGACCGGCCGCGTACACGCACCTCTCCAAAGTCCTCCGAGAGACTCAAGAGGTTGCTGTTAAATAAGTTATCTTGGCAGGAACTTGGCCTGAAAGGTATTTATTAACACTGTTTCAGAAGTAGTTAAGTGAAGGAGGTTTGACCTTTAAAGAAACAACAACAAAAACACACACATGTCAATAGCAGATAAGATGGTGAATCTTGCCACCAGCTTAGCCATATCTTTCGGGTTAAGGATCTTGGTTTGGGATCTTGGTTTTTCTTTAAGTGTTCAAATAAATGAACACAATCGACAATCACCCGTAAAATTCTAACCTTAGCGTATCTACAGCTTAGTAAAAGGGTGACTCAGGTGACTATTAAGATACTCTGATAGCGCTTGGCTTTTTGTTACCACTCTGTCCCTTTCTGCAGCTGCAAAATGAGTATGGCCAGAATTGACTGCCTATCTGACAAAAGCTTTGCTTTTGTAAAATGCCAACCACTGAAATGGTGGTGACCCTTTACTCCAGGTCAGATGGCTGCACGCAGCTGCCCCACTTTTGTGTTTGCCTTAGTAATTAACATTCCTTTTCATTTCCCCATGTTAATGATACATTGTGATAGAGAACCACTTTTCATTTGTGCTTTTCCAAGATAGATTATAGTAGTGACCATTATGGTGATATTCACACCATCTCCTTGATTTACATTGTGGAGGGAAGTTCTTCAGGATTTGGGAATTTAAAACCTAATGATATTGAAAGTGGTCTTGAAGTCTTTAGGGTCTTTCTGATGGGATGAAATTTCCAAATTTCACCTGATTAAGGACATTGCACCCTGTCTTCTCTGACAGGCAAAATAATCGATGCTGGACTCTGGATATTTGCAGATGGGTTTTTAGATGGTGCAAAGGGGTATGTAGCAAAGACAGAGTACATAATTGTCAGGGACAGGAATGAATGCTGCTTAGCAGATTGGAATCTCACGAAAAGACCACCATCCTCCGCCTGAACACCAGGTGCCACTGCCTGCTCTCCTTTATCTTGCTTGTTGCAGCTGGAATCCTTGCCTGCTAGCCTCGCTGAACTCTCTCCCACCCTTGAGTTACCATGCCACAGTCCTAGCCCTGGGAGCCAAGCTGCCAACCATTCTCTTCCTGTGTGCTCCGGCAAGCAAGCCACGCTGTACTTTTCCTTTTGAGCCTTAAAGGAGCTGCAACAGCCAAGGGATCTGATTTACTTAGAAATAAGGTTTCTGTGTTTACCTTTAGCTAGTACTTCAAAGTCACTCGTCTTTTAACACAGACAAGAAAGGGGTATGCTCGTGCATTGTCCCTGTATACGGTAACCTAATGCTTTGAATTTGCCTGGTGTCACTTTTCCAGGGAGCTCAAAATACTTCCCATATGCTATCATTCATCTGTGTGAATTAAAGCAGGGACCCATGGCTGCTTATACAGATACTTCTGTATGGATATCTTATGTTGTTCTTGTTAGTGGAAGCTTTATTTTGTATATTTTACCTGGCTGCAGCTCTGTTTTTAGAGGCGGTCTCAGACCTTGAGCATATCTCTGATGTTGAAAAGGAGGAAGATAAACTCTAGACTGTCAAGCCCCATACCCCATAAAACTGTTGTAGTCTTGCTTAGTGTTGGTATTAGAGAAGTTTCTTCTATTTGGTCTCAGCTGCTTGGCTTAAATACCCTAAACACAATTCTTTTTATATGTTATCTATTTTCTTAAGGTTTTGGTTACCTTCCAGTAAAGATAGTCATTGTCCTTTGTCACAATTCTGTGAGTAGTGTTTTAAAACTTTTATCTTTAAGATAGCGATTCACTATGTAGTTCAAGTTGGCCTTGGACGGACTTAGCCTGGCCTTAACTCAAATGATCTTATCTTCCTGTCTCAGCCTCCTGAGTGCTGGGATTACAGGTGTGTTGCCATGATGCCCCGTCTTTAAAACTTTTGCAAAAATATTCCTTAAATAAAATGCTTTGGAAGGGCTAGGACGAGGGTAAGCTCCTTGCCTACTCTTCAGAGAAGGAAGAGAAACAAAGGTACTTCTCTTTTCTACTTTTTTTTTTTTTTTTTTTTTTGTGGTCTTTTCCTGAGATGGGGACTTGCTATGTAGTTCAAGCTGGCCTTGAACTCTGAGCCATCCACCTGCATCAGCTTCCTGAATTCTGGGATTACAGACATGTTCCACTGCATTTAGCTTTTTACTTTTTTTTTTTTTCAGTACCAGGGATTGAACTCAGGACTTTGTGCTTGCCAGGTAAGCACTTATTCTCCTGAGCTATCTCCCTGGCCCCAGCTTTTTACTTTTTTAATACCCTTAAAATTTTATAGATTTACAAAACCCATGAAGTTAGTATATACAATTCACTCCATATAGAATGCCCTACATTTAATTTCTCATGTTACTTTACATGGAAACAGCCCATTTGCCAGGTTAGTGAACCAATATTGTAATTATGATTATTAACTAAAAAGACCTGAGTTTCTCAGATTACCTTAGTTTTTTGTCCATCGTCATTTTTCTTTTCAAAGATTCCCATCCAGGACATTATGTGGAGTCACCCTGTCAGTAACAACCCCCTGGCCCCTTTTTTTAGTTACACATCCCTCCCTGGTGGACACAGAATGAGCCACATGAACACATGTCTCCTGACCCTCGCAGTAATCGAGAGTAGTAGAGGTCGTGCTGCCTTGTGACAGGAAAGCTAGGCAGTTTGCCCCGTAGTGAGGAGGTGGTGGACCTGAGAACAGAACACAGGCCTCTAGGACGCTGAGGCCCACGCTGATCTGACTGCTCACAACTCCTGGCACTGGACCCGCTTTGGTAGCACAAGTCTCCATGCCTCAACAGTAGGCCGGGCCTGGCGTCCTAAGATGTGTTCAGCAGCCTGCCTGGCCTCTGTCCAGGAGCCAATAGCGCCGTCCACCCTGTAGCATAACCAAAAGCCTCTGCGCATGTGTCCTGTGGGAAAAAACAACCCTAAACCCTTCTTTAAGACGGTTTTCTTAGTACTTAGCAGCCTACATTTACTAAACCTTCATTAACCAACTTTTATTTGGGGCCCTCTATAAAGCAGTTAAATAAGCTGAGCCTCTATGGTCCATAATAAAATTTGAAAGAAATCATATACTAATGCATTATTTCTTAAAGTTTTATGGAAAAATATTATCTATTTTTCTTTTTTTTTTTAGTCTAGTCTGACACCTGAGAATAAAAGTAAAATTTTATATATTCTTTTGCTGTTTTTGTTGTTGAGGCAGGGTTCCTACGTAGCCCAGGCTGGCCACAAACTCACAGTGATCCTCCTGCCTCGGCCTCCCGAGTACTGGGATTTCATGCATGTGCCACAGTGCCTGGCTATATAGTCATTTAGAGATAGCAGCTTCTAGTAATTTTATGTGTATGTTCACCTTACACTGGAATCCAATTCATATGTATTGATTTCCTTCTAAGAATTTAATCTCAGTATTTGAAGTGATTATAGAATTGTTTTGCCCATAAATTAAGGCGGGAGCTCCCTTTAAATATTTGAATAAACTTTCTGACATGTCTGCTTTATAACTTGATTTAAAAGGAATTATTAGTAATAACTTGATTATTATTTAATGTACATCCTTAGAAATGAAGGTTGTTTTTTTTTTTTTTTCAGTACTGGAGATTGAACTCAGTACCTTGCGCTTGCCAGGCAAGCACTTATGCCACTGAATTATCTCCCCAGGCCCAATACTGTTTTAATTAGATGCCAATATGCAATTTAATTTCCATAGTGTTGGTAAATTAAGTTTTTGGGGTTCACATATGGGTGAAAGGTCTTGCTTTTGTCAAATAAGTATTGTTTCAAGCAAATAAAGATGAGACCACTGTCAAAATGAATGCTAACTACCCTAGATTTAATTTAACGATTACAAGTATGTAATGTTGGAGATCTAGTATAAAATCACTTTAGAACCCAGGCAGCATGGTGGTGCATGGCTGTCATCTGAGCCCTTGGGAGACTGAGACAAGGTCAGTTTGTGAGTTCAAGGTCAGCCTCAACTAGAAAGCAAGAGAAGCTGTCTCAACAGAAATTTTTTCAAATCCCCTGTTGGACTGCCTTCCAAGTTTTGCACTTGATGAAGTGAAATTTGTGCCTGTTTGGTTTTTTATCTACAGCTCATTCCTATGCTATGTAATATCCACTGTTCTTTCTTACATGCAAAAAGACTACCTTCAGTTTTTTTTTTTTTTTTTTTTGGCGGAACCGGGGATTGAACTCAGGCCCTGGCACTTGTCAGGGAAGCACTTATTCCACTGAGCCATCTCCCCAGCCCTTACCTTCAGTTTTTACATTCCTGTAAGAAACAGTTCATACCTGAAAACTTAAATGTAGTGTTCAACTACTAGATGAGTAGATGAAGAAGCCAACCTACAGAGGTTAAATCTTTTCTCCAGGGTAACGGATGTCATGATGAGTTTGGAAAACACTGGGCCAAATGTAAATTTATAAGCCTTAGTGGTGAATTTTAATGTATCACCCAGCTCCTATGCAAGTGAAAACTGAGGGCAAGGAGCTGCAGCTTTAATTCTGAGCACTGTACTTACAAAGCATTCATTGTGTACTTGTAGTTTGATTCCTATTTAGAAATCACAATAAGTCATCTTACTGGGCTATGGTCTGCTATACCAATATTCACTTCAGTCCCGAGATGATAAATACGTATTTCAGACTAGCGTGTGGGGGCTCTGTTCAACTGGTGAGGTCAGCATTAAACAAACAGGTTATCCTGGTGCAGTTTTGGCACATTCCCTGGTCAGGTCCAGGGTACGATCCATAGGAAAGTATCTGCATGAACATGAGCTAGTTTGGGGCTGTGGGTGGTTGTGCTTGAGGGTAAATATCCCAGGCTGCAGCGGTTAGGAGTTAGTGGTCAGTGAGAACAGAGGGGATCCGAAGCTGACTTGAATCCTGCCCGGAGGACTCTGGAAACATGGCTCACAGGTGCTCAGAATCCTGCTCTAACCTGTTCTTTAATCTTTCAGACAGTGTTGTCCAACCTGCAAAACTTCCTGATTTCCCACATTTAAGCAGCAGGCTGGTATGGGGGAATGCTATCCTGTACTTCTTCTCCTTTGAAGATTAGCGTTTTCCACATCACTAGGTTTATATCTCCCCTTCCTCCCCCCAATTGTTTTTATTATTCTCAAATTAATAAGTGACTCTGCCTTGTGTTGGGGGCTTATGTGCTGACCTACTTGTACCTCAGGTATTATGACTGTTCCATTTTTAATATTGTCACCAGCCCAGTCAGGCATGGTGGCATGCTCCTGTAGTCCCAGATGCTTGGGTAGAGGAGGCAGGACAATCACTGAGCCCAAAACATAATGAGACATGTTTCCCCACCCCCATCTCTTTAAAAAAGCAAAAGCAAAACCAAAAAGTCCAGTGGCCAGAAGTCTGTTTGACTGATATTTAAAAAGCAACCTAATCTTTCCAAGCTTGAGTCTTGGTTGGCTTTCTTTCCTGTTACCTCTGTGTACCGAGGGCAGTAGTTATTATAGAATTAAGGTTATCTGCTTCATTTTTTGAGTAGTAGTGGTTTTAACTATTTTGGTTAAGAGTTTCCAAATATTTTTTCTTTTGTCTTGAGAGATGGTTTCACTATGCATGCTGGCCTTGAACTCACTTTGTAGCCCAAACTGGCCTCAAACTTCCACTGATCCTCCTGCCTCAGCCTCCGAGTGTTGGGATTATAGGTATGCACCACCACACCTAGCTTTCCAAATCTTAAGCATTGTTTTGTTGTTTCTAATCTTCAGTTTTCTTAAACCTATTAGTAAAAATAATAATTTCTATCTTTAAGGAAAGATTAATTCTGAATTTCTCTACCTGTACCTGACTTTTAACATATTTAAGCACCAAGAAAAGGTAATATATATTTACCAGGTATGTAACTGAGGGGAAGTTTAACTCCACCTCAATTTTCTCAAATTGAATGATACAGTGAGGGGCTGGGGAGATGGCTCAGTAGAGGGCCTGAGTTCGATGCTCAGTGTCACAAGAAAAAAAAAAGGAATAATACAATGAAGATTTGAAAAAAGATTAAAGAGTGATATTGAGTATGTCTTAAGCCAATAAATAAAACCCATTAAATGCATGTTTCTGGCTTTATTCAGTAGAATATACTAGTGAACCAGGAATCTAGTTCTAGCTCGACAAGCCTAGCTTTTCTCCATTGTTAAGTTCTTGCAGTTTCACATGACACTTGGCAGACTGGCGACAAAATATCTCTGTCTTCCTTTGATACTGGCTTAGTAATAAGTTTCAGTTTTAAACTATGACTGTGATAACTGAAAACAATCCTTAACGTTTTAAAGTAACAGGGCATGGGTGGTAAGTTACTCATCCTATTTTTGATATTGAAAATCTACAGAAAAAAGGGCTGTGTGTGTCTGTGTGTGTGTGTGATTTCTAATAAAAATGTTAAAATCAACAGTTGCAAAATTAGGCAATAAGTGAATGCAGTGTGAAGGTTCAGTGCACTCTACACATATTGCAACACAAGAGGCGAGCTCTACATGACCCACTTAGAGTTTATGGCCTGAGGTTTATAGGGCTGTCGCTCAGAGGGTAAACACATGCTTGGCATGCGCGAGGCCCTGGGTCCAACTCCAGTATCAAAAAGTATAAACTGTCCTTAATGCATTAGGTAGGGTTTCAGTGTCCTTTAGGAGCTTGTGTTTTGACCTTACACATTCTGTTTTGTCAAAAAAGGAAGGCAGTTGCAAGTAGCAGATTCTTTAATTATAAGGCCCCTTAGTCCTTACAGCTGTACTGATGTACGTTGTGTTCATTTTTAGACAATATTGAAGAAACTAATAAAATTTCTATTTCTCTGCAAAGATATCCCAAGCATAGAAGAAGCAGTATATTTAACAAAAATGGGGGTTTATTTTTTCTTTCTTTATTTTTTTGGGGCAAGGGTCTATAGGGTGTTCAGGGTCTTACTACTAGATCGGACTCAGTAGTGATCTGTTTACAGCCTCCCAAGAGCTGGGATTACAGGTACGTGCCGCCATGCCCAGTCTCAATTTCCGCTTCAGTGTGCCCAGGGGGTGGGGCTGGCATGGCAGGCCTGGGGATCGAACCCCCCGGTCCCTGCGCCTGCTTGCAGGTGCTTTAATCTGCTGAGCTATTTGGCTAGCCCTAAAAATGGGGGTTTAAATCAGGACTCTTGAACTGAGTTGGTGTGTGCACGCCTATCACCCCAGCATTTGTGAGGCTGAGGCAGGAGGACTGCTGTGAGTTTGAGACCAGCCTGGGCTACAGTGGAAAACCTGTCTCAAAAACAAATATAAAGAAATAAGGACTACTGAATTTTCAGAAGGTCATGAAAAATATGAACTTAAAAAACATGTTAATGAAGGGAGCAGAGAGCAGACACAGTCAACTCTGCTACTAAGTACGTGATTAGCTTCTTTTAGTCCCGTTCCTAAATCCTGAGGTCCCTTGTCTTTCTTTTGATTGTTTTTTTCTTTTTTTTTTTCCATAATTTTATTGAGAAACAGATAGCGATGAGACAGTTTCAAATCAAATTGGTAGGACAGTTTCAATAATTCACACATTACATACATTCTTCCTAGTGGTTAATTGCTGTACAAGATGCGGACTTGATATCCTATTTACAAACACCATTAGATCAAATCCCTCTGTTCATTAAGAGAATGTAACTGTATATCTATCCTAACCACTTTGAATACATAGATACAAAATGGACATTCATCTGTATCCCCTTTTTTTGTTAAGTTCCATTATTTGAATATTATAGGTGTGTAAGCTCAGCAAAATATTCTGAAAGAGTCCAGGAGCCCATAATAGTATTGGATCTTCTGCTTGACTGGCAATGTCAGAAATTGTTGACCTGAGTCCCCCACAGCTCAACACAACAGCATGGCTTTACTTCTTCTTTTTTTTTTTTTTAATTTATGTATTTATTTATTGTGTGTGTGTGTGTGTGTGTGTGTGTGGCCTGCTCAGCCCACCAGGGGGCGGGGCTGGCTGGCATGTGGTGCTGGGGGATGGAACCGCGGTCCCTGTGCTTTGCCAAGCGTGTTCCAAGTAGGTGCTTTAGACCACTGAGCCATCTCTCCAGCCCAATGGCTTTACTTCTTATACTTCGTTTTTATACTTTTCTGCTGGATGGTTAAGACCAAGGTAAAGCAGGACCTATGCAACAAGAGTTGTAGCTTTTGGGTCTGATAAGGTCAGTGAAATCCCCTCAGGATTTATCCTGAGATCCTTGATTGTTTTTTCTATTCTTCTTGGCAGTTTTGCCAAATAACCGGCTTATTAAAAATGAGGAAAACAGGGTCGGGGAGATGGATCAGTAGAATAAGCACTTGCCTGGCAAGCACAAGGGCCTGAGTTCAATCCCTGGTTCCACCAAAAAATAAATAAATAAATAAATATGAAAACTAGGCAGATGTTGAAAGTTTGAGTTTGGCCAAGATCTTGCTTTCTATTTCTCTGTCTACCCTATCTTTATAGTAGGCCATGAGGCAGGAACCAAAGCGCTACTTTGTCCTACATATAGTACTAACATCATAAGTCTGCGAAACAGGCAGCTTTAAAAATATTAAAGGGTCAGAGAGATAGCTCAGCAGACTAAGTGCCTGCTTAGGCAAGTGCCAGGACCAGGGTTTGATCCCTGGCCTCACATGCTGCATTGGCCCTACCCCTGCGCACACTGCGCCAGCCACTGAGACCGGGAGTGGTGGTACAGGCCTGGAATCCCAGTGCTGGGGAGGCTGAAAAACAGGAGGCTCACTATGAGTCCAAGGTGTGTAGTGAGATCCTGTACCAAATACATACAAAAGAAAAAATATTACTTTAGGGCCGGGAAGATAGCTCAGCAGCACAGCACCTGCCTGGAGAATACAAGGTCCTGAATTGGATTCCTAGTACAAAAATAAAGAAATAAATAAATTAACTAGTTAAATATTAGTTTATTCCCACAGCTTCTGTATGTGTGTGTATCTTCCTGATAATGCTTCAAAGTTGTGGGGTTTTTTTTGTTTTTTTGCGGAACCAGGGATTGAACTCAGGCCCTTGCACTTGCCAGGCAAGCACTTATTCTACTGAGCCATCTCTCTAGCCCCCAATGCTTCAAAGCTGCAGAGATCTTGAGCTTGCTGGGCTCCCATAGGATGCTACCTGTTTCAATAGAACACCTAGACATCCATGTTCTGGTCTCAAGTTGGGATGGTCGTGTTGCATAGGGCTGCGACTGCAGATCAGTAACTCCAGTGCCGTGCCACAGGCCCTGCGTGGTCCGCTGCCCTGTGTGTGCCTTCTCCACACCCTTAGTCTCACTTCCTACTGCCCGCTGCCTCCCCCGGCCACTCTGGCCCAGCTGGCCTCCTTCCTGTTCTGGGGGAGCAGAGCTCACTCCCCCACTGAGGGCTCTTTGCTTTTTCTGTTCTGTCTGCCAGATGTCTGCACAGCTTGCTTTATTCAAGTTCTTGCTCAGATATATCCCTACCAGAAAGGTCTTTCCTGATATCCCAGTTAAAGTAACATTCCCACTGGGCCAGGTGGTGTACACTGGAATCCCAGCAGTCAGGAGGCTGAGGCAGGAGGACCACTGTGAGTTTGAGGCCAGCCTGGCCTTACATAATGAGTTACACAAAGATGCTGTCCCAAAAAGGGCTGGGGGCATTCTCTTTCTTACCCAGTTACAATTTTTCTTTTTAGCACTGTTCTAACATACACTTAGTATTTTTAACTGCCTACAAAATCTTTGAGAACAGAAAGATTATTTATTTTGTTCACTATATTGTATCCTAGCACATGGAAAACATTCAGCATAGAGTAGATACTAGATTTTTTTTTTTTTTTTTTTGTCTTTTTGAGTCAGAGTCTTGCGTATGCTGTTCAGGCTGGCCTTGAGCTCATAATCCTCCCTGCTCTGACTTCCCAAGTGATGGGATTACAGGTGTGTGCCACCACACTTGGCTGATTCTTTTTTTCCTTCTTGGTGTTTTTTTGAGATAGGGTGTTAGCTTTGTAGTGCAGGCTGGCCTTGAACTCACTATGTAGCCCAAGCTGGCCTCAAGTGCACAGCGATCCTCGTGCCTTAGCTTCCTGAGTATTGGGATTACAGGAGTGTGCCAGCACACCTAGAAGTAGGTACTAGGTTTTTAGCAACAAGTTATTATTAAAATAGTATTTCAAGGGGCCGGGGAGATGGCTCAGTAGAATAAGCACTTCCCTGGCAAGTGCAAGGGCCTGAGTTCAATCCCCAGTTCTGAAAAAACAAAAACAAATAAAATAGTATTTCATTAATAAACTGCCTTCATTCTTTCTTTTTTTTTTAATTTTATTTGTTTATTTATTTATTTTGTGTGTGTGTGTGTGTGTGTGGCCAGCTCAGCAAACCAGGGGGCGGGGCTGGCTGGCATGTGGTGCTGGGGGATTGAACCGGGGTCCCTGTGCTTTGCTTAGTTTAGTTTGTTTTAAGTAGGTGCTTTAGACCACTGAGCCATCTCCCCAGCCCTGCCTTCATTATTTCTTTTCTTTTTTTAAAATGCATTTAGTACATGGGGGCTGGGGAGATGGCTCAGTGGAATAAGTGCTTCTCTGGTGAGCACAAGGGCCTGAGTTCAATCCCCAGTTCCACAAAAAAAAAATAAAATAAAATAAAAAAAAATAAAAATTAAATTAAATGTATTTAATACAGGGTCTCACTACACAGATCAGACTCAGATTGATCCTCCTGCCTCAGCCTCCCAAGCGCTGGGATTACAGGTGCGGGCCACCACGCCCCGTCTGTGTCTCAGCATGCCCTGAGGTGGGGCCAGCCCAGGTCGTTGCTGTGTCTGCCTAAGCAGGCGCTTTAATCCTCTGAGCTATCTGGCCAGACCCTTTGCCTTCATTATTTCTCCTCACTCACAACTTTGGAAATTGCCACTTTGCATAAGGACTGCTTAGGCTTTCTGGCAGATGAACAAACCCTAAGGCCCCGTTTCTGAATGATTCCCCCTTCTAGGTCTCAGCGTGGCCCAGAAGCCCTTCGGAGCCACCTACGTGTGGAGCAGCATCATAAACACCCTCCAAACACAAGTGGAGGTGAAGAGGCGAAGGCATCACTTAAAGCGGCACAACGACTGCTTCGTGGGCTCCGAGGCCGTAGACGTCATCTGCTCGCACCTAATGCAGAACAAGTACTTCGGAGACGTGGATATTCCTCGGGCCAAAGTGGTGAGAGTGTGCCAGGCACTCATGGACTACAAAGTCTTCGAAGCAGTTCCGACCAGAGTCTTCGGAAAAGACAAAAAACCTACGTTTGAAGATAGCAGCTGCAGCTTGTATAGATTCACGACAGCACGGAGCCAAGACAGTCAGTTAGGCAAGGAGAACAAACTGCATTTACCCTCCGGGTTAGTACACAACGTTAGATAATCGTGGGGAGGTTGGAAGGACTGTGTACCTTTTGAGACACGGACTGGCTTTATAGTCTCTACCTGTACATATGTGTTGTTTTATTTACACTGAGCAACATCTCCGGTCCTTTTAACATTTTACAAAAATGTTTCTTTTTTCTTTTGGCTTTTGAGACCAAGTCTCCCGATATAGTCAGGCTGGCCTTGAACTCCATATGTAGCCCAGGCTGGCCTCAAACTTGTGATCCTCCTGCCTCTGCCTCCTAAATGCTGGGATTTCAGGCATGTGCCAGTAGTAAGCCTAGCTCCCTTTTTAAAAAAAAATTTAAAATTTGAGACAGAGACTTGCTAAACTGTCCAGGCTGGGCTTGAACTTGCGATTCTGCCACCCCAACGTACCCCCAAGCACTAGGATTACAAGTGAGAACCACCATACTGAGCTCAGTATGTTACTTTTATAAATAGGACATTTGGCTAAAATGTAGATCTGCAGGTAAATGTTATAAGGTACAATGAAATGTTAACTTTATCAGATATCTCATAGACTTATTTGGTCATACTTTATATTTAGTAGAAACAAACTTTTTTGTCTTTTTTTTTTTTGTTTTAAATTTTTTTTAGACAGGGCCCCTAGTAAGGGATGTGTAGTTCAGGGTGCCCTGTGTGTAGCTGAGGTTGGCCTCACTTGTGGCAATCCTCTTGTGTCAGCCTCCTGAGTGCTGGGATTACAGGCAACACCGTGCCTGGCAACAAACCAATTTTCACCCCACAAGTTACAGTGTGAAATCTGTTAGTATATGCCTCTAATTCCCACCTACTTGGGATGCTGAGGCAGGAAGAGTTCACATTCCGGGCCAGTCTGGCCAATACAGTAAAACCAAAAATTAAAAATATGCAATTGAAAACAAAGAATACGTAAAGTAAATGGTTAAAAGGGGGCCAGGGAGCTAGCTCAGTGGCATTAGCACCAGGGTCCTGAGTTTGATTCCCAGTCAAAAAAAAAAAAAGAGAAAACAAAGAGAAGGTGAAGGGCTGGTGAGATGGCTCAGTGGTCTAAAGCATCTACTTAGAACAAGCTTAGCAAAGCACAGGGACCGCAGTTCAATCCCCCAGCACCACATGCCAGCCAGCCCCGCCCCCTGGTGGGCTGAGCTGGCCACACACACACACACACACACACACACACACACTAAAAAAAAAAAAACAAAAAACAAAGAGAAGGTGAACACAAGAAGAAATCGAGGTCAGAGGATGTCACTGGAAGTGTGGATGGTGTACCAGTGTCAGCAGGCCGAGTGCTTCAGAGGACATGAGACCGGATTGGGGTGTGTATTGTTTGGGTCGGGGTTTTGCTGTGTTGCCAAAGCTGGTCTTCAGCCCTGGGGCTTAAGAGGCCCTCTAACCTCCACCTCCTGATAGCTGGGACCGCAGACACAAGCACCATTCCTGCCTGCACAGCCGGGAATTTGGACTCGGTCATCCAGGTGCTGGGTCGCTACAGAAAGATGAGACTGTGCCTTAGAACCATCACCCGGGGCTGGGGACACATGCAGTGGCAGAGTCTCAGGAGAGCAGGACCTGGGTCCAGCCCCCTGCAGTGAGCCATGGCAGGGCCCACTTGGCAGTTGTGTGGCCAAAGGGAAGAGCTGGCTAGAAACGGGGTAGTACGCTTACAGAATATAAGAGCCACACCAAACAGCGTGGGACAGCAGAGAGGGTCACTGACAGGGACAGATTCGTGGGCCCTGCGATTGGAATGAGGAACGGTGATGGTGTGTAATGAACTCAGCTGCTTATCGGAGTGGATGCAGCTTTCTTTTTCTCTTGTGTTCTCAGCTGGACCACAGAAGGGTCACTGTCATTTGGAACTTATGATAGAAATCTGACCCACAGTCAGTGTTCATACATTGATTTTTTTCAAATGTTTTTCTGTGTCTGATTTCAAACATGGCAAAATTTCTCATGTTCAGGAAAGAAATAGGAAGATAAGCTAAAGTGTCCGGGAAAGAAGTATGAGGAGACGGGAGAGCACGGGCCACAGTTCTCCTGCTTTATTTGAAACCTGGGACCAGACGCCATTAGGGTGTAAATTTTAGAAGGTTCATTTTGTACACACAAACACCATAACTCCTCTGGGAGGGTCTGGGACAGCATCAGGTAACCAAGCATGTTGGCATTCTGTGAACAGAGGAGCAGTCATTAACTGGAGTAAGTAGAAGCTATGATAATCTCAAGATAGGTTTTATCATCACAAGGCCTCTGAATAAACTTTAGCTTTTTAAACTGCTGGCTTCAGAACTGCTGAAGGAGTGTGGATGTGTATTTGGGAAAAGATGAACACAGTCCACTGAAGGATACCCAGAAACAAAGAATGTATACAAACAGCGAAGATAATAAATTGTTGTTTTATTATGTTTAATCCCAGAGCTTGGAGGCTGAGGCAGGAGGATCACAAGTTTGAAGCTAGCCTGTTGTTTTATTATGTTTAATCCCAGAGCTTGGAGGCTGAGGCAGGAGGATCACAAGTTTGAAGCTAGCCTGGGCTACACAGTGAGTTGAAGGCCAGTCTGGACTATATAGCAAGACTGGCTCAGAAAAACAAAAATAAATAAAATTGGAGAGTCAAATGTTCATTTTTGCATTACATCCAAATAAGTGTACACAGGAAATTTAGAATGCATTTTAGGTTTGAAAGAACTGGAGTTTTTGTATTTCTTTCCACTCTTAAAATTTGTATTTGTTTTTGTTCTGCAGTTAAAAGAACGCTCACCAACTATTAGCTATCAAATAAGCTATTTGTGGGCCTGTTAAATTTGTTTCAGGTACCCGGGTACACAATCATCTGATATCAAATCGGACAGTTTGGAAGAGCTGTGGGACAATTTGAGTTTAAAGCCTGCTAATTCCCCTCACGTAAATCTCTCTGCAACCCTGTCTCCACAAGGTAAGCTAAAGATGATGCCGAAAGTAAGACCTAGAAGACTGACCTCAGACAAAGTGAATCTTAACCTTTCTGTGAATTTAAATATCACAGTGCAGAGAAAGACAGCACTATGTGTTAAAGCTGTTTATATTAAGCTATAAAAGAAGTCTGTTATCTTTAACAAATGCATCAGTGTTATACTCTTGAACACTGACTTTTGTCCTGTCGGCTGGCAGAGGTTCAAATCTGAAGTATTTTACATGCAGATTTCTGCTTAAAATATGCTCTCAGCTGTTTTTTTCCTAAGACTTTATTAGGTTCAATAAATACTTGAAAATTACATTTAAAACATTAACAGAATTCTCATGTTCTTCCTTGTGGCAATGGACTGTGGCATACTGACTAATTCCACCCTCCTTCCCCCTTCCTTCCTGGTTGTGGAAACTCTTGACTGGAATAATCTGTAGCCAAGAGTTTCAAATCGGGTTTGAGATTGAATGAATCATTCTTTCTTCCAAAGTCCTTATTAACATGTTATATGACTCGATCTCTTATCTCTGACAGATTGCTTTATATAGTACAAAGAATGAAAAGAATTCCTGTTGTCCAAAGTCTGTTCTCCTACACTTTAAACAAATCTTGGATTGTTGTAGTTTTTCATAAGAAAGCCCATCGTAAGGTTGACTTCTTCCCTTCCTCCCCTCACCCCCGCCCTCCTCTGTTCTTCTCCTGTTTCTTTCCCTCCTTCCTGTCTTCCTTCCCTTTCTTTGTTTGTCACACCAATGTATTAGCCTAGATCTGCCTAGACGAATATCCTGGTGAGCATACAGTAACTATCGATTGTTACTGGTCATTTTTCCTGTGTAGTTATTAATGAAGTATGGCAGGAAGAAACGATTGGGCGGCTGCTACAACTTATAGACCTTCCACTTCTTGACTCCTTACTCAAACAGAAAGAGGTTGTATGTAAAGTTCCTCAACCAGAGAGGCAGCCTGACATGATTGCCAGCAGTAACTACCTGGACCGAGGGATCCTCAAGGCCTACAGTGACTCCCAGTATGTACAAATACCCGTGATAACTTCAGTGTGTTTGCAGGTAGATTGTGGATGATGGCTTTAAGATCATTTCTGGGAGTGAGTCTGTAAGATCAGGCAGTCGATGTTATGTATTGTCAGTTGATATTATCAGCAGTTGAGTGAACAAAATTGTTGGTCCAAATTAGGAAAAAAACATTTTTTTTTTTTTTTTAAGACAAAAAGATTTCAATTTCATTATTTCTCTTCTTTATTTTTTTTTCCAAACCGGGGATTGAACTCAGGCCCTTGTGCTTGTCAGGCAAGTGCTTATTCTACTGAGCTATCTCCCCGGCTATTTCTCATATTTCAGATTCACTTATTTCACATATAACTTCCTTAGGCATCTAGTGAATAAAATGATTACATTCTTTTTTTTTTGTTTAATATTCTATTTATTTCTTCTTTTTGGTGGTGGTGCAGGGGATTGAACCTAGTGAACTACATCCCAATCTTTTTATCCTGAAGACAGGGATCACTAAATTCTCACTAAGTTGCTAAATTGCCTTTGTTGGGCTTGAGTCTGTGATCTTCCTGCCTCAGCCTTGGAGCACTGGGATTACAAGCATACTCATTTTGATTATGCTCTTTGTTGTTAAATGTAGGCTGACTAGTTTCTCAAGATTCTTTAAAGGGATCTACAACAGAATGAATACATTTGACAAATTCTTGGAATCCTTGACAACACTACTTTTAAACTCTTCTAAAATGTCTGTTTTATAGTGTAATTGCAGCACTCAGGAGGCTGAGGCAGGAGGCTTCCCATGAGCTTGAGGCCTGCTTGGGCTACATAGTGTGTGCAAAGCCAGTCTGAACTATATAGCAAGACTTTGTCTCCAAACAAAAAGAAAAGCCTGTTTTATTTATTTCCTTTTTTTTTTTTTTTTTTTTTTTTTTTTTTTGTAGTACTGGTGATTGAAGCCAAGGCCTCACGTGTACTAGGCAAGGCTCTATCACCGGGCTGCCTCCTAGCCCTTTTGTTTTTATGTTGAGATAGCACCTCACCAAGTTGCCCAGGTTGGCCCTAAACTTGGCATCCCTCTATCCTGGCTTCCTGAGTAGCTGGGAGTACAGGTATGCGCCAGCACACCTAGCTGTAAATGTGTATTTGCTAATTGCTTTTATTAAAGACATATGATGAAAATAACTCTCTCACTTTGTTATTCTGAATATAAATCGTATGGTTTGAAGGCATACCTTCAGCTGCTGAGAGAATTATGATTTTTTTTTTCCTTGAGGAAGAGTTCTGTCAGAATGCCTTAAGGAAGAGTCCTCATAGCCTTGAAAACTCCTAAGTAAAACTGAAGGTGAGGCAGATCCTGTTCTGGTCTAGTTAAGGAGATGGAAATGTTTGAAAAGAATATGTATTACATTTTTGTACTTGATAATTCCATACTTCAGTAACTATTAATATAAACAGTTGATTGTCAGCAGTAACTTAAGTCAGGCTGTGGCTCAGTAGCAGACTGTTTGCCTCTCATGAGGCCTTGGATTCCATCCTCAGCACCAGAAAGAGCGCTTAAAGCATGGTGTGAATAAGACAGCCCACATATTACTGTTAAATTCTGGAAAAAAAAATATATAGCTGTCCTACAGTAGCTGATATTTCTATAATGTAAAAATAATGTGCAAATATTCTACAATCACCTTGATTTCCACACAGAGAATCAGAATTTGTGCTAGAGGTGACAGGATCATCTAGTGCCTGCGTCTTCTTATAAACTTGAGAAGCAGAGTGATTGCCTGAAATAATTCATCCACATCATGGCAAAATTAGTTGTTCTGGGCCTGGGAGATAGCTCCGTGGTGTAAGTGCATGTCTGGCAAGCATAATGGTCCTGGGTTCGATCCTCAGTGCAGAAATTAAAAAAGCTGTTTTGTGTCCATGGCAGTAATGGACAAGATTTTTTTTTTTATTTTTTATTTTTTATTTTATTTTTTATTTTTTTTTTAATTTATTTATTTATTTATCCATCTATCCATTTATGTGTGTGTGGCTAGCTCAGCCCACCAGGGGGCGGGGCTGGCTGGCATGTGGTGCTGGGGATTGAACCGCGGTCCCTGTGCTTCAGGCAAGCTTGTTCCAAGTAGGTGCTTTAGACCACTGAGCCATCTCACCAGCCCAAGATTTTTTTTTTTAAACTAATTCTTTTTTATTTTATTTATTTATGTGTGTGTGTGTGTGGCTCAGCCCACCAGGGGGCGGGGCTGGCTGGCATGTGGTGCTGGGGATTGAACCGCGGTCCCTGTGCTTCAGGCAAGCTTGTTCCAAGTAGGTGCTTTAGACCACTGAGCCATCTCACCAGCCCAAGATTTTTTTTTTTAAACTAATTCTTTTCTATTTTATTTATTTATGTGTGTGTGTGTGTGTGTGTGTGGCTCAGCCCACCAGGGGGCGGGGCTGGCTGGCATGTGGTGCTGGAGGATTGAACGGCGGTCCCTGTGCTTTGCTAAGCTTGTTCTAAGTAGGTGCTTTAGACCACTGAGCCATCTCACCAGCCCCAGGACAAGATTTTTTTTAAACTATATATATTAACAAAGTGAATGCTAAGTGCTAGGCATTCTATTTCATGAACTGTAACAGTTTTCTAAAGTTACTCAGGAGGCATTTTACTGGACATGTAACTGATTTAATTATTTTGAGTTTCTTTTCTTCTGTTGTGGCGTGAATAAGGAGAGAGACAGTCACACAGCCCTGCGGTAATCTATGCTGTCTCCAGGAAGCACTGCTGTTGGAAGCAGGCTGAAATCTAGTCCTGATCAGGCATGAGCAAGTAGCTTGGAATTTCTGGGTGTCTACTGTAAATGTAAAAAGTAGAGTTTGAACTTTGGTGTTCTTCACCTCTGTTCTGTATAGCTTCTATTTTTGCAAAAGGCGGGCGGGACATACTAAGGTAATTTTTGAAAATTTTGTGAAACACGATTTAGCTGTGTAGTTTCAAATTTATCTTCCAGCATGCAGAAATGTATCCTGTCAAAGCTTATGAAAATAGGTTCTGTGTGTGCATTTGCTGTCCCTTGCTTCTTAGAGCCCTCTTCTCCCCACAGAGAGGACGAGTGGCTGTCTGCAGCCACCGACTGCCTGGAGTACCTCCCAGACCCCATGGTGGTTGCCGTAAGCAGAAGCTTCCCTGAGCAGCCCGGAAGAACAGACCTGGTGAAGCAGCTTCTCTTTGATGCCATTGGCAAATACTACAGCACTAGGGAGCCGCTACTGAATCACTTGTCTGATGTTCACAATGGAATTGCAGAGCTCCTAGGTAAGTAAGATCTTCCCTGATACTCAATTTGTATCTTGGGAGGAGGATCACGAGTTCAAGGCTCACCAGGGCCATTTATGGAGAGCCCATTTCCAAGTAAAGCATAGTACTAGGTCTGTAGCTTGGTGTCAGGCCCTGGGGTTAAGGCCCATTATCGAGGGCAGGGAGTGAATTGTCCTCAAAGTTCGGTAAAAGAGTACCACTTCAAACTGGGAGTGGGTGTGGATTAGTCTACAAAATGTATGTTTGTTCCCCAACTTCTAGGGCACGTTTGGAAAGAGGTTTTAATGAGCTCTGAAGTTATGCAGGACTTGAGGTTGGTGGGAGAATGCTGTTCTCGTGTCCTGGAGAGCGACCACTCTAGAAGAGCTCCTAGCACCTCCCCTCCCCATTTAATCTTTTTCAAATGGGGACCCCTCGGCTTTGTCCTTCTGCCGTTGTGCCAGACTATCATGTACTTTTTGTTGAAGACAATCGGAGGTTTCAGAAAATCCCTTCTGTTTTTCTCAGGTTGAGTTGTATATATCAGTGTCATACAAGTTGTATTCCCTCAAAATATATGGAGTTAATGAAAAACATAGGCTGAGAATTTGTTCACAAAGCCAAGAGTTTAATTTACTGCCCTAAGACATTCTATGACAAGGACATAGAGTATTGGTTGCCAGTTTCAGAACAGACTGCCTTTAATAGCGGTGGTCGTTCATTTTGATTCTCGGTTTTGTTCTTGCTTTTGGAAATCATTCCGAGTAAGTATAGTACTTAGCTAAAGCTGTAATTTGAGTTTTGTTTCCTTTAATAGAGTCATATTCAGTCAATTAAAAGCAGGTTTTTTTCTTTTGGCTAAAGTAAATGGCAAGACTGAAATAGCACTAGAAGCTACTCAGCTCTTCCTGAAGCTTTTGGATTCTCAAAATAGAGAAGAATTTAGACGACTACTATACTTCATGGCTGTTGCAGCACACCCTTCGGAATTTAAATTACAGAAAGAAGTAAGTCTTGGGCCAGGCATGGAGGCGCATGCCCTGCCTGTAGTCCCACCACTCAGGAGGCTGAGGCAGGGGAATTCCATGAGCTCGAGGCCAACCTGGGCTAGAGAATGAGTTCAAAGGCAGCCTGAACTTCATAGTAAAACTGTGTCAGAAAAGAAATCCTGTTGTCTAAGTGTTTATTGTATTCACTGTCTTTAATACTTATCCTGTGAGTCAGGTTATTCCATCCCCAGCATCAGTGTGGCTGAAATGGATAGTAGTTACTAACTGTCAGGTGTGGTGGCACATGCCTTAATCCCAGCACTCTGGGAGGCTGAGGCAGGAGAATGGCAAGTTGAAGCCTGGCCTGGGTGGTTAAAGAGCCTGACTTAAAAATACAGGGGGGTGCTGAAGGTATAGCTTGGTGTGAAGGCCCTGGATTCAGTTCTCAGTAGTGCAAAAAAACAAAACCAAAACTATTTCTATTTAATATTCTCTTAGTATTAAACATAGCCCTTTAAAAATGTACTATGATGTGTGTGTTATTTTTGTAGAGTGACAATCGAATGGTTGTGAAAAGGATATTCTCAAAAGCTATCGTTGACAATAAAAATTTATCCAGAGGCAAAACTGATCTTCTAGTACTCTTTTTAATGGATCATCAAAAAGATGTTTTTAAGGTAAAATTCTGACAATACTTAAATACAGCTTATTTGTAATTGATTGTTTATGTATAGATTAAAATAAACTTGAATGTCCGGTGCCTCTTCTTTTTCTTAAGATTCCTGGAACTCTACATAAAATTGTCAGTGTTAAGCTTATGGCAATACAAGAAGGAAAAGATCCAAATAAAGACACAGGTAACCTAAGAAGTACTACATTCATGATATCTAACGACAAATTCTTATTGTTTATTTGAAGCTCTTTGCTATAAACAGTTAAACTAAATTTTAAAGATTCTCTTTAGAGTTTAGGCATTAGGAGAGCCTTAGATTTCAAAAAGCCACTTACAGCAGGCATGTCAGCACGTACCTATAATCCCAACACTTGGGAGGCTGAGGCAGGAGGATCCTGTTAGTTTGAGGCCAGCTTGGGCTGCATAGTGAGTTCAAGGTCAGCCTGAAGTATATAAGAGGACCCTGTCTCAAAACACGAACAAACAGAAAAGCAACTTGACCAGGTTCAGTCAGTGCTTATTGTCACAGCATGCAGAAAATGAGACACGTTAAAATCGCCATATCGCTTGATTTTACAGTTAAATCTGAGGAATGGGGGAGGTAGCGGAGTGGACGGGGATTTAAAACAAATTAAGCTGTGCTGTATGCACGTGCCTGCTCCTCAAGATGAATGTAATCGTAAACTGCAAACAAGCTACTAGCCAGGCATGCTGGTACAGGCCGGTAATACTAGCATTTGGGAAGCTGAGGCAGGAGGATCACCATGAGTCTGAGGCCAGCCTGGGCTACGTAGTGAGTTCAAAGCCATCCTGAACTACATAGCAAGACCCTGTCTCAAAAAACAAAAAAGTGTACCAATAAAAAAAAAAAATACAGTCACTAATGGAATTTTTCCCTTTTAACTGTAAGGATATATTTACTGCCAGAGAATTGACCCAAGTGACTATTCCACCAGCACACAGAAGAAAACAAAAGATGAATTGTTGAATTTACTAAAAGCTATTGATGAGGATTCTAAACTATCTGCCAAAGAGAAGAAGAAACTGCTGGGTCAGTTCTATAAGTGTCATCCAAATGTCTTTATTGAGTATTTTGGAGACTGAATTTCTAATGTCTGTATATAAGTTGTGTATTTTAAAAATAAATTATCCTAAAGATCTAATCATGTTTGTAAGCTTGGAAGTTCTAAATATGAAACTGTACTTAATAAAACTTTTTTTTTTATAACTTTGTGTGTCAGAAACTGAATCACAGGGGAATATAGTGTATTGCCATGGAGTAGTGCTCTCTGAAGTAAGTTCATCTGTCATCCTCTATAGGGCTCGCATGTAGGGATTTAGTTCAAGGCCAGCCTGAACTGCACAGTGAGACCCTGTCTCAAAAAGACAAAAACCAAACATAGGGATTTAGATGTAGTATTTAAGGTATTTAACGTAAGGTGGTCTACACTTACCAATTAGTAATAGTATGATTTGTATTTTTAAAGGTATTCCTTAAGGAGGCAAGGTAGACATTTCAGCTATGATAAAACGAATTATTACAATTTATAGACCAGCAGAAAGACCATCCTAAGGCTTCTGAAAACTTTAGCATCTTTTTAAGCTTATTATAGATTTCAAACATACAAAAACCTGTATGTACCTAACCATCAACCAACCAACTGCAACAACTGCCAACTGATAGTCAATCTTGTTTTGTCTGTGTCTGCCTATTCCATGGGTGCACCCAGAAAACTTTGGACATTGTATCCCTTCATGTATAAAATTTCAGTACATGCCATCCACGAATGGTGGCATAGGACTGTCATCCCAGCATCAGGAGGCTGAGACAGGCAGATAGCTGCAAGTTCCAGGCCAATGTGGGGTACACAGTGAGTTCGAGGCCTGCCTAAACCATACAGGAGACCCTGTTTCAAAACACCAAACAAATTTTAACTACATTATCATCACTCCTAAGTCTTGTAATTTCTTACTATCAAGTGTGCAGTTCATGCTCAAATTCCTGATGATCTCAAATGATTTTTTTTTCTTCTTAGTGGTTAATTGCTGTACAAGATGCGGATCAAATGATTTTTGATTATTCAAATAGGGATCCAAACAGTGTCCATAAATTGCAACTGATTAATGTGCTATTGAAGTATTTTAGTCTGTACTTTTTTGTTTTGTTTTTTGGGACAGAGTCTTGCTTTGTAGTTCAGGCTGGTCTTGAACTCACCTGTTGAGCCTGGGCTCACCTTGAACTCAAGGTGATCCTCCTGCCTCAGCCTCCCAAGTGCTGCGATTATAGGCATGCATCACCACGCTGGTTGTTCTTTACTCTTCTGTTTTTAAGTAAACCCAGTTGTTCTTGAGTTTTCCATAGTCTTAGCTTGCTGACTGTACACCTAGACTATCCTTTAACATGTTCCTTTGTATCCTGTATTTCTTGTAAATTGGTCCTTAGAGCAAGTTTTTTTTTTTTAATGATTTTTTCACAACCACTATACTGTCAAGACATATTTGCTAAGTAGAAAAAGTCTAACACATGAAATACAACCTAAAGCTGTTTGTCCCTAACCTTTTAGTTATATTTTCAGGCTGAATTTTATATTTTAACTTAGATTTTTGAGAAGAGGTAAGGAAAACTTAAATGACACCAGCGCGCTGGCATTATCAGTAATTTTTTGTTTTTTTGATAGAAAGTGATACTGTCCAAGTGCAAGAAGGTCGAGGGCTAATCTCTGTACTACAGCTAACGTACCAACTTAATAGAGCAGGGAAAGTTTTCTTGTATAACGAAGTGGGGGGGGGCAGCTTTCTTTACAATGAGGAAAGATAATTCATGGCTTAGGTGTGAGAGGAAGTTTTCAGAAACAAGCTTTTAAAACTGGTGAGACAAAATTTGGCAGAGCAACTCTGCTGATTCAGTCTTTATTTTGCACATAATTAAGAAGCATGATTCTCTGCCAACCAAAACCAACACCTTGAGGGGAAGGTAGAACTGCTTAATCACGTACAACCTCCTAGAAGCAACATTCAAACACAAGAACAACTTCCTGGAAAACATACCTGTAACCCAGTCTGTGGTTAATAAGAGTAGGATAAAATTTTAAGAAAAATTGGTTACAAGAGAACAGCAACTAGGAATCTAGAAAAGCCAGCTGGAAGCAGAGATATGAAGAGATCCTTCCTGTGCTCCAGGGAGGTGACAGGTAACAGCTTACCTCCAGGGCAGCTGTCTCCTTTTTCCCAGCCCTGTGTATCCTTACAGTGAACTCTCTCTGCCTTGACATACTTTGACTTTCTAGTCCTTGAACTGAAGATCAAACTGGCTGGACATAGTAGTGCATGCCTGTAATCCCAGCACTGGGGAGGCTGAGGCTGGAAGATCTTAGTTTAAGGCCAGCCTCGACCTCGACTACAACCCACCACCACTACCAAAAAACCCCAAATCACACAAAAAAGAAGATGGTTCAACATATTTGTCTTTTTTTTTTTTTTTAGGCGGAACCAGGGATTGAACTCATGGAAACACTTGCCAGGGAAGCGCTTATTCCACTGAGCCATCTCCCCAGCTCTATTTTTATATTTAAAAGAAACAGTTCAAACTATGTGTCAGATTAAAACCACTGCAAATCAGAAAGGTTTGAGTATTGTCCTTGTACTCTAAGGGTTAATCCTTCAAGGTCGATAACGATCTCTTGCTACAATATACTTCTAGGCTGACTAGCCTGACTAGAAGCCTGACATTAGAGTCCTCTGGGAAGCTTTCACTGACTGCCTGGCCTCGGAGCTTTCAGGCAACGGTTTTAGACCCCTACCCCTTCATATTCTAAACCAGAGAAAAGGGTTGAGAAGCTCTAAAGTACAGACTATGATACCTTAGTCTGGACTCCAAAGTGTGAAGTGAATATCTGTCAATCTCGGCAGTTTCAGGGTTTTTTTTTTTTTTTTTTTTTTGCTCTTTCTTTCTCTGGTACTGAGGAAAAACAATATTTCAAGTCTCTGCCTTGAACTGCTTTACTTCCAAAAAATGGTAGAAGGTTTTTTTTTTTTTTTTGCAAATCTTCCTCTGAGAACTTTAAGGAAAAATAATGTACTAGTTGGTAAGTGGTGAGAGAATGCTTTGGGCTCCAATAACACATGATCTATTTAATAGTGTTTGAAGGCATTAAATCCACCCATCAGGTTCGTTCCAGTTATTTAAACAAGTTTTGTAAATTACATGTAGATTTACTGCCTTCATTTTAAGACTTGTATATCGCTTATGCTCAGTTTTAAAGCACAAAAAACAAACAAACAAACAAAAAAAAAAACGAACAGCTAAGAATCACTTGCCTTTTATCTTTTAAAATCAGGCACAACTATTTGTATTTCTGGTTGCTTTTTTTTTTTTTTTTTTTTTTACTGCTGGCAAATGACAAAGGAGTTTTCTTGGAGTAACTACTCAGTCGAGCTCAGCGCTCCCGCTCCAACTTCCAAAGCTTTGAGCATCGCGGTGCTTAGGAACGACCTGCACAGAGCGGGGCATCAAGGGAACCGTTTACACACAGACACCCACCTCTGCCTCGCCTGCACCGAGCTGACCGTGTCCTCCCACAGCCAGAGCGCGGCAGGCACTATCCGGGCCACGGTGACGCTCAGAATCCAACGCGGTGCCATTGAGACGCGGCTGTGTGGGCGGCGGGCGTGACTTCCACAGCCGCCAAACTGAGGCAAGAGGAATAAACCTGGCGCGGATACAAAGATGACGATGGCACAGTTTTCAAAATCTGGGCGGGAAACGTTTGAAATGGATCGCTCCTTTCTTTTTCCTTTGCTTGACTGACTCCGCGCGTTTTTGCATCACTTTCCGGTCGCGTAGCCAGCCGTCGCCTGGAATCCAGCTGCGCTCCGACTTTCCGTACGGTAACATGGCGCCTCCCTGTTCGCGTCTGGCCAGGCCAGGCTCCGAGCCGCTGCCCCGCGAGAACCCTCGGCCAGCACCTGGCCGCGCCATCACTTTCCGTACAGCAACATGGCGCCGCCCAGCTCCCGAGCAGACGCTCAGTGAGCCATTTCGGCCTGCAGGGGACTGAGCCTTCTGACTCTCCGTACGAAAACATGGCGCTGCCCTAGGCTGGTCAGGCGCCTCTCCACTAGCCTCAGTCGGCCCGTTCCCAACGCTGAGGAGCAGTCACGGTGGCGGCTGTCCATCCGAGCAGGGCAGCGAGGACCGCCCGCAGAGGGGCGAAGGGTGAGGCGCCCGAAGGGCAGAAGAGGAGCGGACCTCCCTGCCGCGCATCGCTCTCGGCTCCCGTCCCCTGCGCCGTCCCGCCTGACTCGCGGCGGGAGCGACAGGAGGGACCCTCGATTCCGCGACAGGAGAACAGCCGGAGAGCGGCGCGCGCGAGGCGACAGGTCGGAAGCACCGCTGGTGGTTCGCCTTTTCCCTCGCGAAGTCGGGGTCGGGGGGCACGAGGAGGAAGCAAGGCGGCGGGAGGCCCGGGCGCGCCCCGCTCGGCGTCCATCCCTCCTCGGCCCTGCCACTCCCTCTCTCGCCCAAACTGTTGTTTACAACGGAATCCAGACGCGGGGGGCTGGGCACGCTGAGCGCCGGAGGAAGCGATGCGCGGCCGCCGGGGACAGGCCCCATGCTGCCCGGGTGAGGGGGCCCCCGTGGGGGACAGCGCGGAAGCGCGAGGGTCGCCGACCCCGGCACGGTCGGGGCTGATGGTTGTTGAATGAATGAGCGCGCTGAGAGCGGTTAAATGGCTCCTGCATGCAGCCCGGAGCCCGTCTGTAGTTCCCTCTGGTGGAGAGCGTGTGTACCGGCCGCAGGTAGCCACAGCCCCGGGTTAAGCCTCCTCCCGCGTGCGAGGGAGGCAGCTCTGTTTTTACAGGGGAGAAAACTGAAGTCGCGCAAGTAGTGAAGAGCCAGAGTTGGACCCCAGACCAGCAGCCCAAATACAGCAGGGCCGCCACAGAGATGACAAAGTAATTCATCTCTGCCAGTAAATACTTAGTGCCTGTCTGTGTGAGAGGAGGCGGTTGTGCATACGGAGCCCAAGTGTACGGGTGGCTTGTCTGAGGCTCAAGATCTAGGGGAAAGTGTTGACTAGGCGTGGTGGTGCACAGCAGCACTTGGGGGGCTGAGGCAGGAGGATGGCAAGCTGGAGCCCAGTCTGAGCAGTTCCCCAACGTCTCAGAATAAGGAGGGAGGCTGTGGAATGGGGCAGAAGCCCTGGACTCGTACCAAGCACCCGCAACAGCAAAATAGACGCAACCATCTTTCCCTGTCCCCGCCTACCACTTTTCTCATTTTCTCATGCCTTGGCTGCTTCCCTCTCCGAATGAATTGCCTCTCTCTTCACCTTCTTTCTCCCTCCAGATATTTTATTAACTGGGTGAAATTCCACTTTCAAAAGTCAGCTCAAATGTCATCTTTTCTGCAAATGTTTTCCCACCATCCTCCTGGGTGGAATTAGTTTCTCCCTCTGCTGTTGAGACAAGCAATCTCATAGTGTTACTAAGGCTTGCATTTTAACTTTGGATCCCTGTAGCCCTTCCTGTCTCTTCTCTAGACCATGTATCTCTCTCTCTCTCCCCCTCCCCCTCCCTCCCTCCAGATTGAATCCCGGGCCTTGTGCCTGCTAGGCAAACCCTCTAACACTGAGCTACATCTCCAGTACTATTTTTATTTATTTCTAAAAACTGAATTTCACTATGTAGTTCAGGCTGGTCTTGAACTCATTATGTAGCCATAGCTGGCCTCAAAACAATCCTGCCTCAGTCTCCTGAATGCTGGGATTATAGGTGTGGGTTACCACGCCCAGCTATTATTAGGTTTTCTGAGACAGAGTATTTGTAGCTCAAACTGACCTTGAAGTCACTGAGTAGCCCAGGCTGGCCTCAAATGGGCAGCTTCCTCCTTGGGCCTCCCAAATGGTGGGATTACAGGCAAGCTCCAGCACTCCAGGCTTTAGTTAAGCATATTTTGAAGTGAAGGACTTGCTGAATGCCAGATGTCTGGCACCAGCCCTGCAGGAGTTGGAGAAAAGTGCAAACACTAATGAGGTTGGTCCTGGAGTGCCCTGGGAGGAGACAGGACTAGAGCTGAATCAAGAAAGGGGTTGGTTTTGGAAGCTGGAGTAGAAACCTTGCTGTACTCCTAACCAGCTCAGGGTGAATTACTTCATCTTTTCTGTGCTGATTCTCAGTGAGGAGGATAAAATTAGATGTCTCCTCGCTCTCTCATTGCAGTATGGTGGTAATGCTGTTGTTTGCTTTTTGGAGCATTTCCAGACCCTAAAAGGATTTAGGACAGTGAAAAGATGGGTATTGAAATGTAAAATCGAATTAGAAGTGGGAGATACAGTAAAACAAGCTTCATATTAAGAATACATTTCCATTAAAAAATTTCATTGCCAATTACTCATTCTATTTAATGGAGGTCTCTGAAATTTCAGAGAACTGGGTCAAGTAATACTTCTCTACTTGTTCAGAACTGAGCCTGCCAAACCTCCCTAAAGCAGTTATTTTTTATCCCTTGATTTCCTTCCAGATGTGTAATGTAGTATAATTACTGTTTATGGCAGTGTTTTATGATGAAGTGCTAATGGTATCAGTGTTAATTATCTTCAGTATCATAAATGCAGATATACTGTGTCTGTCCTAATCAGAAACTCCCTAGAAAAGAAAACCGTAGGGAAGAATTTGACAAAAACTTGGTTGTAATTAAGGGTCCTTGGCCCAAACCAAGGTATCAAGTGATATTTCTATTCTGACCAACAACTAATCAAATGAAAACCTCGCCCAACCACACACATGGCTGTTTGCAACTTCCGGCTTTACACATAATCTTTTCCTACCACTGGTAATGAGTTAATAAAAATATTTGCCATACACACTTCTCTTAAACACCACTTAAAAGAGTATTTAACTCTATTTATCACCTACAAGATAGAATCAAGGAACTAACTCCTTAGCCCTTTGTGTTCACTTGGAAGCATTTTCTTCCTTGGCGTGGTAGCATGTCTGGGTGGGTGGGGAGCCTCTGGAGTCATAGCTACTTAGGAGGCAGAGGCAGGAGAGTCACATGGTGGAGACCAGCCAAGGCAACAAGTACAAGGTCCTGGATTCAATTCTCACTAGTACTTAAAAAAATATATAGTTTGCAGGGAATTTTCATATCAGTTCTCAAGGATGAAAGTAAATAAGATTGAATTACTTTGATTAAAAGAGGAAGCAAATTATTTATAGTGTTTTTTTTCTATTTAAGGCCCTCTGTTCTTGTGACATGGTATTCATGAGGGGAATAAAAATATTTTACAGGGGGCTGGGGAGATGGGTCAGTAGAATAAGCGCTTCCCTGGCAAGTACAAGGGAAGTTCAATCTCTGGTTCTGCAAAAAAAATAAATAAATAAATTAAATAAAATAAATAATATATATATATATTACATATTACTGTCTAATATCCATAAATTTGATAAATTATAAAGAATATTTTACAAGTATTTGTTTAATCTTTTTTTTTTTTTTTTAATGTTTTTAGTACAGGGTCCACAGGATCTCACACAGATCGGACTTGTAGTGATTCACCTGTTTTTCAGCCTCCCAAGTACTGGGATTACAGGCATGCACCATTACACCCAGTCTCAATTGCAGTCTCAGTGTGTCCTGGGGGCAGGGCTGGCATGGCAGGCCGGGGCTTATATCCCGGCCCCTGCGTCTGCCCAAGCAGGCACTTTTAATTCACTGAGCTAACTGGCTGGCCCTTAATATTCTTTTTAGAGACAGGGTCTTGCTACATAGTGTAGGCAGGCTTTAAATTCACTCTGTGGCCCAAATTGGCCTAGAACTAGCAGTGATCCCCCTGCCTCAGCCTCCCAAGGACTAGGATTACAGGGTTGGACCACCATGACAGTATCTGGTTAATCATTGGAGTAGAATATTGTAGCTAGATAAAATCCTGGTGATCTTTTATTTTTCAGAGGAAAAAACTGAAATCCAAAGAGATTAATGATTTGCCCAGATTCACAGTACTAGTTAGTGATAGATCTAGAAACTTTAGGCTTTTTTTTGTTTCCTAGGAAAGTGAATAAACTTAATTGAGAATGTCTGAAAACTTTGACAAGTCCAATGTAAATGAGTCAAATGATTATGAGAAGGGCCTCGATGGTGCTGTGGAACATTCCGGTGAAGCTGTTCAGAAAGATGTAACATTGGACTCTTCTAGTCCCCAGAGGATGCAGAGACCTCACTGTAAGTACATTTGACTTTGGTTAGGAACAATATTAGCATTGTTTTCCGATGGTATTTTTATTTCATTTTCTTGTGCATGTGACCGTAAGTGCTAATCTCTGTCTGTCTGTCTGTCTGTCTGTCTCTCTCTCTCTTTCTCTTGGTTTATTTTGGGTCACACCTAATTTCTGATAATGTCAGAAATTGTCAATGACTACCACTCACGAATAGCAGCAATTTCTCAACCAATAGCCTAGTTACTTGAGGGTTTTCAGCAGTATGAGAATATTAAAATTTTAAAATAATGTCCAGAATTTTGCTATCTTTCTTCAGCATCAAGGGCATTTCAGTTTCTCTGAAGTGCTCTCTGGGAAATGCAAAGGAAGAGTGTAAATTACTGCAGTTCCAATGATATTTGAAAGTCTGTGACTGATTCTAATCTGGACAAGGGTTGTACAGTTTGAAGAAAAAAACATAGCTCCCCACACCCTAACTTCACAGCCTGGGGGCTTAGTTCCTTCAGAGGTGAGGGGATTGGGTTTGCTGAATGAATGTGGTAAGCCCTTTGAGCTCCCTGGCAGGCAGCAAGCCTCCAGATGAGATGAGGATATCTATTTGTGTTCCCAGCAACTCTACCAACTCAGGGGCCAGGGAGATGGCTCAGTGGAATAAGCACTTCAAGGGCCTGAGTTCAATCCCCGGTTCTGCCAAAAAAATAAAAAAATAAATTACCAACTCAAGTCTCTATTGAATCCAAGGCAAGACACCACAACAAGTTTATGATGGCAGCTAAACTTAAGATTTGGGGCTGGTGAGATGGCTCAGTGGTCTAAAGCACCTACTTAGAACAAG